TGCTGGTTGGTTCAGAAAAGTGGAAACCAAGTACAGTGATTGTTTCGTTTCTACATAGGTACGTGTTGTTCTTTTTTGATTTGTTTGAGATTTATGGTCAAAAATTCGTTATTATTTCACAACTTATTTTACTTGTTTTATTGATTGAAAAAATCTGCATAGGTATCGATTTTTGCTTTTAATTATACCTCGATGCGGTAACACTTAGGTTTGATTGTAGCGTACTGAAGGTAAACATGCTTATGAAGGTATTTAATAAAGCTTTTTGTTGTAATGGCTCAAGTTGCCGTCGAAATGGCACAGCAGCAGCTGTAGTACTGTTTGTCAAATCGTATCATGAATTAGAAAATCTTTGTTATTGAATTGCTAATGTCCAGCTCGTGCGGCGTTATGTTGAGAATCTATTATCTAAAGTATAGTCGCGTTCATTCTCCTGCGACAGCTTTGTTCAACTCTGCTTGGTTGGATTTTTTTCGTTGTATAAGTAAGCAGAATATGGTTCCTATGAACAAAATCAAGTTACCGTTCCTTTCTGGCGCTTTTTTGTAAGCTTTTTTGTAGGCGGAGGAAGATCAGTTCAAAAGAAAGAAAATGGGAGGATTCCTTTTCAAATCCAGATCAGACTGTGATTATGTGGCCAGAACAAGCCCCGGAACACATTGATATTTTGACCACGTTGTATAAGTCTCAACACGATGATCAATATGACGACAAGGTCGGTTAATTCCAAGTTTTCTGCAAATTTCGTGGTTGTTTCAAAATTTTTATGGGTGATGAACTGTCCCCCTACTTATTTTGTGCAGTTAGTTTTCTCCGGCGTTTCCTTTCTAATCAGAGAATGTTTGAGGAATGGACGATCGTTGTCGAAGAAGTGACGGCAAAGGGGCGGAGGAAACCCATTGCAGCGGTACCGCTGAATGTGCGTCTCTTCATCATGGACCATCCTGATCAAAGATCTGAACTCAAGCTGAAGCTCAGACCGCTGACGTCTCAACTAAAGCAATGCAATTTAGTGTTGCTACTTTCAAGTCACCTACTGAAGGAGGGACTGTAAGTGGATTTCTTCTTTTTTTTTGATTTTACTGTTATCTTACAGACTTTGCATGTTATTGTAATGGCTTCTTCTTTGTATGTGCTTTTCTGACATTATCTCGCAATGGGCACCAACAACCTTTTCAACTTAAAAGGGAAGGATACTTGGTCGAAGTGACGTTTCCATATATAATGTATACCATCTTCTAGAGCATGGAGCGGTGACTCCAAATCTGTCTTCTGTACCTGCAAACCGCCTTTGCGAATAAGAGTTATAGGAATCTTTTAAGGCGAAAATTCGAGCTTTTGGCTAAGGTAAAAACAGGTGTTAAGGTCTTTCCGGCGCTTGAAGACGGTGTGGACTAGCATAAGTTATTAAACAAAGGGTTGAACTGTATAAAGCGCCTTGGTAGTAATTATAGCCCTATTCGCTCATGAATCAAAGTTCTGAATCATTTTATTATAGCGACGCTTTCGAAGTTTTGCATCAAAAATTTCCATAACTCCCCTCCCAAAGGCGCTTTGCAGATACCGAAGGTAGATTTGTATCAGCGTTCTAAGCTTTATAAGACTATACATTCTGTAAGGGAGCGCAACTTCGACCAAGTATCTTTCCCTCGTTGGACCCTGATAATCACAGTTATCTGTTTTCTTCATTGGAGTTGGGGTGTTAGAGCGTGATATCCTTTTGAGGAACGACGACGTGAGCCTCGCCTCAACTGCCTCTCATGCAGAGCGCTCATCTCGCGAACAAAGCGTATGCGATGTCGCAAGTCCTCATCATGTCGAAGAGAGCGCAGACCAAGGTATTTTACACCTCATCGATTTCTGTTGTATCGCACGACATGTTTCGGGGAGAAAACGAGTTTCGTTTGGATAAAACTCTAGTGCTTTTTAAAGCAATCAGGGGTTTATCTCATCTTGAGATGGAGTAAGCCGTCACAGTCTTTCTTCTATAAATCCACTTTCTCAGTTACATTTCTTGGACTTTTTGATTTGGTTTGAAAGCTGAGCCACGTAACCACATGATCTGGT